CTGGCACGCCTGGCCTGGCACGCCTGGCCCGCATCGGTGTTGTACGTAATCTGGTTCTCGCCTGGCAACCTGCCTAAAAGCTCTATAAAAACATAAAACCCCTTAAAGACCGTCTTGTTGCTTTTTTCCCGGCTCTGAAAAGCTAGTTTGGTTTTTTTTAAAAAAAAATCCTAATTCTTACCTTTGATAGTTTATATTATTGCTTATTGAACATAAGTGCTGTTTGGGGGAGAAAAAAACCCCACTCATTAATATTTAATGGCCTTAAGGTTCATGTTTCACTACTTTTTATAGTAAACCCCATTGCCCTACCTACGCATGTCTGTGCACTGTGTCCTGTATTTGTTCATCCTGGCCTTTCCTGTATAATAAATGTATATGCGTAAATATTGTGCAAATACTGAAGCCAAGCTTATGGTAGGTCCTATTTTCTCGACAAATGGATAATAGATCCGTGCAAAGTTTCTTGTTCGGAGCGGGGTTTCTCATATTAGACTACCTCTTAATATCCTAGTTATCAGACCTGGAGGGGCAGGTGAGGGGAGGGGGGCAGAATTTGGAATCATTTGGGGAGGGGAAAAGGCGGGAGCAGTCTGCTTAAAAGTTTTAGCTTGGCGCTTGAGCTTCTGGAGTAGGAAGGTGAAATGAGCTGGAAGTGTGATCCAATCCCAACCAAGGGAGGTGCACCATAAGGCCAGGGGATGTGATTGTAGCTGTTTTCCAACAGGCTAATGCTGTTGTGGGTTTGTGGTGAATCTGAGCTGCAGATCCAAAAACTAGGGTAATCTTAACCTTAGTCCTCTGTGGGTATTACTACCATGATCTAAACTAGTTAATTTAGATACTCTGTGCTGCTGTCACTTTTGTGTCTGCAGGGTAGGCATAATCCTTCTTTTGGTATGCAGTGGGTTGTATCTTCTGGACAAATAGCAAAGGTGTGGAAACAGTCTTTTGTTGTGGGAGTGGAGTTTTTTTCCCCATGATGCCAACGAAGCTTTTCCTGTGGGCAGATTAGCAAGTAAACTGCATTCTCTGTATGTGAGTCAGGCAGGGTGAAACTCAGCTTGGAAAAGAACTCAATTGTTATGGAAAATCGAAAGCACAGAAAGAGTAAGAAAAGGATGTAGAAAATGCACATACCTAACAAAGGATTGGTTGCTCGGTGAGGGAGTGTTAACTGCAAAGACAAACGGGACACTGAACTGTCTCCCTATGTAGTTGCCAGTTGGGCTAACAAAAGCTGCCCAGTATGTGCAGTCAGAACGTTTGAGGCTGGAACTACTTAAAGTCAGCATAAAAGCAAGACTTCATCTCTGAAATCACTTGTTTAGCTTGACTATGTCTTCAAAAATAGAATAAAATAAACCTTTATTCTGTCACTCTTGTAATGCTAAGTCCTGTCTGTGGGTCACGTGTCCACAATCCACTTTATTACAGCTCTTACTCTTTTGTGTCACAATAATGCTTCAGGGCTTTTTTGGTGAGCGTTGTTTATTGGTTTGTTTTCAACCCAACCTATGGATGTCAATTGCAAAGCATTGCTTTCTATCTGATCACAAAACATTAGTAAGAACAAAGTGGTAGTATTTGCTCTACAATAATTTAAGTCTTTGGAATGGAATACAAATAGTATGACTGCAATTTGATAATGTCAACTACTTACTGATGGGCAGCTGCTTAACAGCACTGTACACTGAACTTTATTGCGGTACTCTGAGAACTGCTGTCAGCTTACAATAAAGGGTCTGCTTCCAAGCATCTTTAGGATCTCTTTCAGCTAAACTATAAGCCTGCTTAGCTAATTATCATTTACGTGATCTGATTATGTAAGCTATGTTCTTCCAGCTGGTTTTATGGCTTCTAATAATTACGGCTCAGGTTGGGGTCCTGGGATTTCTGTATTATACAAGTGAACTTTGCAACCTTTATCACTATTGCTGACATAATCATGTGGCTTGAAGATCCGAGAGCGGGATTCATGTAATTCTGCCCTGTTGTAATTATACCACATACAGGCCAAAATGACTGGCATTTTAATTAATTTTCTTTGACTGTTGTTTTGTTGGTATAGTTTAGACTTCCGTCTTCATGAAGTCTACTGCAAAGATTTGTCCATGTCATTTTACTGACAGAAAGTTTTCTTACACCTCAGTCTTCCAGTGAGGCATGCTTGTGCCTGGAGCTAGTCAAATAGTTGTTAAGTGGAGCCAGGGTAACTTAATTCAAAACCCTAAACAGCGATACATGCTGTATTTCTGTTCACCTCTTCAGGAGGTCACACAGTCTAGACAGGATGCTAATGCTGTACATCTTGACTTCTGCAGTAATAACTTGAACAGCTATCTAAAGTTTTGCAACTTTTGAGAATCTATACTGGAAAACATGCATATTTGTGTATTTACGTATTTCTTGTGTGAGGATTCTTTTCTTATACTTTAAAATGTAAGGTGTAAGCATTTTTCATTCTGGAACTGTATCAAAACTACTACTTATTGAATACCACATGGGCCATCCTGCAACACTGCTCATGGCTTGTTGTACACAAACCTGCTTGCTCAAGAAGGCTCTCCTTTACACTCCAGTTAGGATTTTCTGTGGCTAAAATAATCCATAGAGATTGAGATAAGGTTAAAAACACTTCTCCCACAGACAGTGAAGTTGCATGTCCATACAGTTTAGCATGGCGGTTATTTGACTTTTTGGAACAGGGGCAGTTCATGGACAGTATCTGCTTGTGCAGTTTAATTTCTAGCATGAAAGGACTGTGTTGGGTCTGGGGTGTCTTGGGGCGTTCTGGACTGAGTCATCTGAAGGCTGCCGTACAAGACAGAGTAGCCAGGAACGGCTGGCTTGCTCGTATAGTTTGTACGTTCCTGTGGCATTCGAAGAGGCAGAGTGAAACTTGAAGTGATAGCCATCTGCTGTACGAAACAACCATGGCTGTCAAGCTTTACCACCTAGCACTTTCAGTAGAAACTTCAGAGATTGTCTGACCATCTTGGCCATGAATTGGAAGGAGGTCCAAGATGACTGTCCCCGTTGCATTTTCATGCACGAAGTTAGTCTGCTCAAGTTTCAATTCTGATCCAGTGTAACACTTGTCTTTCTTGCCCCAGGGATCACTAGGGTGTAGCCTTTGGCATTACATTCTGATGGTTTCAGTTCCAGCTGGTCTGAGGGCAGTTTACTCTTTTTTTTTTTTTACTGCACACCCGAATTTCAGGCCTTCTAAAACTGAAGAAACTTCTACTACAGCTATGTTAGCCTGCTGCAAAGTTTTATGAGTCCCAGCACTTGGGTAATCTAGCACTGCCATGTGAAAGGATAACGGTGCCCTGGGGTATTTCAAGCAGTTTCTGTTGTGGCTGTTCAGATGGTAGGAGCCCCTGCCAGCCATTTTAACAAGGTATTTTTAATATCATTGGTGATGTGGAAATTTTGGTTGCTGATACAATCCTTGAATAGGAATGTAGGTTGTTGTCTGGATAATAAACTTAAAAATTGTCAAGTGTTTGAAAAAACAGTCGTAATTTTTCTGTTTATGAGATCCTCTTTAATTCTTTCATGATGTGTAGTTTATTTTTAAAAAGGTCAAAAAGCCTGCACTTCAGTAACAGCAACTTCCTAATTTTTTGAATTACTTTTTTTTTTTTTTTTAGAGATCAGTAGAACCAGCAGTTCAAAAGGAAGAAGTTTTGCTGGCCACAAAGTTCCAAATACAAATAATGCCTCTGAAGCATATGAAGTGGATGAAATTGCAGCAAAAGTCCTCACAGGGAAGCTGACTACAGTTTTTCTTCCCATTGTCTATGTCATTGTCTTTATCATTGGTTTGCCAAGCAATGCTGTGGCCCTCTGGGTCTTTTTTTTCCGAACAAAGAAGAAACATCCAGCTGTGATTTATATGGTTAACTTGGCATTGGCAGACCTTCTTTTTGTTGTCTGGTTCCCGCTGAAGATCGCATACCATGTAAATGGCAATAACTGGCTATTTGGTGAAGGTCTCTGCAAAGTATTTGTTGGGTTTTTCTATGGAAATATGTATTGTTCCATTCTCTTTATGACATGTCTCAGTGTGCAACGGTATTGGGTTGTAATGAAACCCATTGTGCATTCAAGAAAGAAATCTGAAATTGCCTTGAGCATCTCCCTTGCTATCTGGATACTGATTTTGCTGGGCACCATTCCATTGTATCTTGTTAATCAGACGGTATACATTTCAAATCTTAACATCACTACCTGCCATGATGTGTTGCCTGAAAATGTTTTGGCTCATGACATGTTCAATTATTTCCTCTCACTCGCAATCCTACTCTTCTTAATCCCAGCTATCCTCACTGTTGTTGCTTACATACTAATGATTAAGACTCTGAATGTTTCCGTCTCAGATATAAGCAGTGGGAAGAAACGAAAAAGAGCAATCAAACTCATTATCACTGTCCTGTCTACGTATCTCATCTGTTTTACACCTAGCAATGTGCTGATTGTTGTGCACTATTTCCTCTTCAAAACCTACAAACAGAGCTATCTGTATGCATTCTACATAATTGCACTGTGTCTTTCTACTTTGAACAGTTGTATTGATCCATTCATCTATTACTATATTTCGAAAGACTTCAGAGGGAACGTTAAAAATGCTCTTCTTTGCCGAACTGTGCGAACTACACGGAGGATGCAAGTCTCTCTCTCATCAAGCAGGTCTACCAAGAAATCAGTTTCTTATTCTTCAAACTCAAATGGGTCCACTAAATCAACCTACTGAGCTTAATCCTAGAAGAAAAGTGAACTTTCAGTACTACTGCTGAAAGGATGTAAGTGACAAGAGAGTTACTATGTACAAGAGTATGAAGAAACATCTTTGCTTTTTGATTACATTGAAGCCTGGATTTTGGAACTGGCAGCTGCTTCCCCTGTGTAGAAATTGTAAGCAGATAAATCTTCCCATCAGACTGGAAAAAAAAAAAGAAATTTCTGATGCTCTGCAAAAATGCTGCTGACTTGGAAGTGAGTCATGGTTGAAGGCATTTTTGTTCAATATCCAAGTTGTTAAAAAGCAAATTGTCACTGGAATGTTATGTAGTATTGCTAGTATATTTAATTAACAGAGAAATCTGTTTTGTTTGGCTGTAACTGTTATGTATTAAACAGTTGAACAGATTGTGTATGTAGGACCTTGCTCTGTACCTGTTTACACTGAACGTTGTTTGAAACCATAGAGGGAAGGAAAGGAGAATGCATTTCACCATCTTGGTGTGGGTCCAGCAACGTGACTGCTTATTTGCATTAGTATAATGTAATTTTATATTGTTTTCCAAGTTTTCATGCTGTAAATAGTAATGTGACAGAAGCCTGTAAGGTCATCCTATTGAGTTGATAGGCTGAACTTGTTACCACCTAGCACTGAAATAAAATGTTAGTTGAGATTATATGCTGTTACTTAACACTTATCCGTGCATGATCTTAAATGGGGATATTTAACAAAGTTTTGATTAATAGCTATTTGATTTTTATATAATGTGCCTTGTATTTTTTAAAATATCTAAATAAGATGGTTTTTTTAATAACACATTTGAGTTGGGTGCTTTCGTTTATGCTTTTATATGCTCTTCAAAGTGCTGAGTAGTTCAGCTTGCCTCGTTTCAGGTAACAAAGATATTATTCCTGATAGTGAATTAGAAGTCTGACAACTGTTGCTGTAATGTCTAAATGGGTTAAGTAAAATTTACCTTGTGATGCATTTCATTAGAACGAAATTGTTCCCTTACCTTATTAGCAGATAACTAAAACCAAACAGTTCAGAACTGTGGGGGAATAATGAAATATAAAAAACCCACATTAACAAGATAGCAAACTTCAGCCCCAGCGGATTTCTAAAATATCTTGGCTCTTTTTCCGTCACCCAGAATATTTGTGACAATGCAGGAATACGGAATCACATGTACTTTTCATCTGAAAAGATGAGGGTATATGGTTGTTCATAGGATTTAAATGCACTTCTTCAAATCTTGCAGTCCTGTTAAGTTTCACCAAGTTGTACATTGAACTTACATCCAAGTGACCTGTCTGAGACTTAGCCATAGCCGGGTCCCTACAAACACAAAAAACCTTGGTCCAAAAAGTACTCTGAGACAGCTCGTATATAGATAGGAAATATTTACCATTTCAAATATGGAGATTAAGGAAGGGGGTAGATTGAACTGGAGCAAGAATTTGGGCAGTCTTGTGCAGTCTAAAGGCCATAAGCATTTCCATAGTAACTTGTGTTCTTCTGTGTGCTAGTCTGTTCCTTCCCTTGTCTTGTTCTTTGGTTTCCACCTTCTCCCCTTACATTTTTCTCCCCATACATAATAAAGACTAAGGTTTGTTTAATGCGTTTGATCTCTTGTCTCAAGGATTAATTACGCTCTAGCTCTCCTTCTATCTGCTGCAGTTTTGTCTGCTAACTCTTAGCAGATGCTTAGGTGAAAGGAGGGTGGTGTGTGGTGGTATTTCAGAGGTCCAAGCTACAATAGCAACTTCTCTTAACAAATACCTCATTGAGGAGCAGTAAGTTTACAGAACTTCAGATGACTTGGAACACAAACACTTCTCAGCCATAAAGAGTTTGTTCTTGCTGTTTCCTGAGAAAAATTCAGGGAAATAATTCCTTATTTGTTCCTGAACTGAAGATGTAATACAGCATCCTTATTGGATGCACTTACTGTACATAAGAGGCCATAGTTCACAGGAAGCACTTTGGAAGAAGGGGGTTTCACCATCTTCACAAACTGACGTCTGAACTCTTCCCTTAGCCCGTGCGTGATAAACAGAATATGAGAATGTCCTTTATCTTGCTGAACAGCCTGGTATGCTTCCTGGTCTGTATACAGTAGTGAATAATGTGAAGGAAGGGCATCCAGTTCATGTGATTACAGCACTACCTGTGTTCTGCCAGGAGTCCAAGGGTTACAGGCTACATACAACATCTTTGTAAAGATAATGAATTGTTTGTGTGTGTCTATAATGCCACAAAGATACTGCTCATGATTCATGAGTCACTGTTAAATTGCTGAGAAAGAATATCCTTAATATAGACAGTGATTTGGGGGACAAGATTTATCTCTTGTCATTGTTTAACCAGGAGTACAGCAAATAATGCTTGTATCTGTGCTCTTGCTCCCTGTTCTTCCTTTCCCGTCATTGCTGGGATCAGAGTTGGGGATTATCACACGATCAGTCAGACCACTCCACTGCAGCTCTTGCAAAGGGGAGTATTGATCCCCCTGACCACTTCTCCCTTCCAGACTTCTTCATCTGTGGATTGACAAAGCAGGTTGCACAGAAGAATCTTCTGTCCGTACCTGCAGCGATAGCAGAGGACTGCCAATGACACACGTAAGAGTTAGATGTTACTACAGTACTGTTGAAAGCTTTTTGAGAAAAAGCTTTAATTCATAGAATTACTTATTTAAGAAGGAGGTTGTACTGTGTATGACAGACTTTGGAGAATACTATTCAAGGAGCCCACACTCATCTAGGTGAAGCTTATTCCTTCATACTGTGATCACTGGGAGCTGAAAAGATCTATTAAGTCTAGTTTCTTTTTATAAGAGATTACCAATGTCCTTTTTGATTTTCCTTTGCTGTTCTAGTGATACCATCTGTGTTTGTGTCTTTGGAGGGGGGTAGGGAGGGGCATCTTCCTCTGCATCCAACTTGTGTGGTTAGGAGTGGAAGAAGAGAACTGGTGCTGAGAATTTAATCGAGCATCCAATTTCTGGATGTTTTTATGATCCATATCTTATAGATATGCACGATGCTGCAAGTGTGTGTGCTGCAACCCCAGTGCAATGGAGACTAAAACTAATCAGATAAAGAGGAGGAACCTTTAGAAGAATTGTTTTGCTTTGTTCTTTTATTTGTCTTTGAAACAAGGACAAATTGTGGGAATTTTTTTCCATCTGTAGCTGCATTGCAAATCCACATCCTGAATTTACTGTGAATCATTTTGTTTCAACTAACAGAGCAGGTAGACCAGACTGGTTGTTCAATCGATTTGAGTAAATTTATTGAATTGGTAATTGCATGCCTGTGCAGCCAGGTAGTGATCGGGCAAGAACATGTAGCCCAGGAGTAATTTATGTGCACGGTGTCATGGTTTCACAAGCATCTCAAGCATGTGCTGCGGCTAAAGAGAAGCACGCTAGTCTTTCCCCTCCCCTGACTGCTTAATCATACTGTTCCCTCATACCATCACAAGCATGTGTGACCTTGGGGTGGATTGGATCAATACTGGGTTAAAGTTAACCCGGGAGGAGGGAGAAAAGTTGACTTTTGACTTGGAACAGCATTTGGCTGTTTTCATAGAATCATAGAATCATAGAACGTTTTGGGTTGGAAGGGACCCCTAGAGGTCATCTAGTCCAACCCCCCTGCAGTGAGCAGGGATTGCTGGATGAGCTCTTGGCTCAGCACAAGGGAGAGGATCAGACTGTGTCTTTTACCACCAACACCTTGCAACTACAAGGCAAGTTGAAGCGCAGGAGCTGTGAAGCCTCTGTCTAACCCTCCTGAACAGCAGGAAGCAAGCCTCCACCCATGACTGTAGGAATGGGTCTGCTGGCTGAGACCTAGGGTCCATCCAGCTTGGCCAGGGCAATCTGCTCACCCATGCCTTTGGAGGTCCACAAGACAGCAAGGTGTCAAGGGACATGTCAAAAAACAGTAGGACTGCTGCACAAGGCACTTGGCCAACATACCAGATGCAGGTAAGATGTGGCAAGGTAAGTTTGTTGCTTTGCAGCATGTAAGTGCTGTGTTACAGGACTGTTGAAATGTGCTGTGAAGTTCAGAAAAAAGGAGACAAATGTAGGCTGGGGGAGCTAAGGTCATTGGCGTCTGTGAGGAAAGCTGCTGCTGAGAAGGATTAATCTGTAACTCAAAGGCATGCATAACAGCAACAAAAAGAAGTTACAGGCAGGTGCCCAGGGAGGATTAAAAACAGTCAGGCATGTGTCATATCCCACACAGTACTCTCCCAACAGCCAGCTCTTTTCAGCATGAGAATTTCCCTAAGTCTGATTTGGCTGGTCTAGTTAGTAACACCCGTTGTTGCTGTGAAAATGAACCTCATTTTATTTGCTCTGAACCAGGATCCACTATCGTCATTTGGTGGCCCCTGGTTCTTAAAGGAGAAGAGGATTTGAATGAGTCCCTAACTTTCCTGTTCAGTCACTTGCAGTTTTGTAGGCCAGTATCATACTCCCTCTCCTTCAGCTACTTTCCAGATTGAGGAGTCCTAGACAACTCAGTCCTTCCAGTACAGCCGCTATTCACAGAATCACAGAATGGCAAGGATTGGAAGGGACCTCGGGAGATCATCCAGTCCAACCCTCCTGCAGGTTCACCTAGAGCATGTTGCACAGGACATCATCCAGGCGGGCTTTGAATATCTCCAGAGAAGGAGACTCCACAACCCCCTTGGGCAGCCTGTTCCAGTGCTCTGGCACCCTCAGAGTGAAGAAGCTGTTCCTCATATTCAACTGAAACCTCTTATGCTTCAGTTTGTACCCATTGCTCCTTGTCCTGTCCCTGGGCACCACTGAGAAGAGTCTGGCTCTGTCCTTGTGACATCCACCCTTAAGATATTCAACATGTGATAATCATGTTTCCTTTCTCTGAGACCTTCCCATTCCCATACACAGTCACCAAGTTACACACAGCATTCAGGCCATGGATGGTAAAGCAATGACTTCTGTTTTGCTCCCTGTTACTTTCCCAATGGCCCCTAACATTCAATTTTATTTATTTTTTTTTTTGCTGCTCCTGAGCATTGAGTTGATGTTTTCATGCAGCTGCTTGTAACTACATGTCTCTCCTGAGTGGTTACAGTCATTTTGCAAGCCATGGTTCTGTATGTCAAGCTAGGATGTTTTTCCCTCATGCACCTCACATTGCAGTTGTTTATACTCAATTCATCCACCAGTTCATTGCTCAGTCAGTCTTACAAGCCTCTTCTGCAATTCTTCGCAGCCTGCCTAAATCCTTACTGTCTTCGCTAACTTTGTGTTATCAGCAAACTTTTGTTCCTCACTGCTCAACCCTCTTCAGACCATTTATGAATATGCAGAACTGTACAGGTCCAGCACCACACCAGTGAGTAACTGGCATTCTGAAAACCAACCATTTTTCTGCTACCCTTTATGTCTTGTCTTGTAATCAGTTATTTTTCCATGAGAGGACCTTCCTTCTTACTCTGACTGCCTAGTTTTCTTTAAAAGCCTTTGATCAGGAATTTTGCCAAAAGCCTTTTTGAAAGCCAGGTAGACTGGGTCCACTGGATCATCCTTATCTCCATGTGTGTCTGGCCTCTTCCAAGAACTCCACAAGGCTGTTAAAACCAGACTTCTCTTTACAAAAGCCATGGTGACTTTTCTCAGAAAGCTCCAGTAGTTCCTTAGTGGTGTCCCATCTTAGACCCTTCACTAATTCCTCAGTACAGATACAGGCGTCACAGGATTGTATTTCCCTGCTCACCTCAGAACCTTCTTTTAATTGTTGATTACAGCATTGAGTCCTAGTATTCAAGTGTAATTTTGGCAAGAGGTAACACACTTCTGTTACTAATTCACCTCTTTTGTCCCTGAGTTTTCTCAGAACTCCTTGATGAATACCATCTAGGCCCACCAAGTTTAGCATTCGTTTTGTCTGACTAACTGTGGTGTGATGACTGAAGACATATAGCACATGTCTAGACACATAGCTGTCCTAGGAATCAAGCAGCGTAATGCCTACCTACCATAACAGCCCTTTAGGACCTGAGTTTCATTGGAGGTGTGTTTGTGTTTCATCTGTCATGGGCGCTTTTAACATGGTTAATACACAGCATCAATGTTAAATTCAGCATGAACACCCGTGCTGAATTTAAGTCATTCAGTCACCATTCAGTCATGGTCATATTGATTCAAAAACAGCCAGGAGAGTAAGTATGTGTTACCTACATTTTTTCTCAGGAGTGATAACCTTCTGTAGGTTTGCAGATAAACATTCTCCAGGCACTGTTTGCTGGCCAGACCAGTAAAACAGGCTGACTACATAGTCAGTTCTCTGTCATCTAGGCCAAAGGAGGTGGAGATGCTTCTTCAGATAATGGAAAAAAGACTAATGGTTGTGAAGGATGCATTGAGTGCTGTGCAGAGACACCGTGACAACTCCCTTGGATCCATCAGGAGTCACCGGTTCAGTGCTAGCTTCTGTGCCTTGGGCTTCACAGACATTTAAGTGTGTCCGTAACCAGTTTCCCTGGTGGTCCAGCTGGCTCTCTGGTGGCCAGCGAAAGGGGGAAAGGCAGATCTGTCTGTTTGTACCGACCACCTGGGATTGGTCATGTGGTGCAAACACCAGAACAGAGCCAGCTCAAGGCTACCAAGGTCTGCCTGGGATTCTCTGCCATAACTGAGATACGAAATTCTATCAAAGCCAAGCTCCAGTGCCTATGCTTCAATATGGAGGCTGCATTCCCAAATGCAAAGATAATTAAAATGTGTCCACTGCCATCTCTCTGCGTACCCTGCTTCCCTTGTCACATACGCTGCCAGCTGTTGAATGCTCTATGCTGCCTGTGTCGGCTTAATGCTCAGCCAGGTATTGCGTTTTACTACAGTGTAGAGCACCCACAGGAAGCGTAGAGCACCCACGTGAGAGAACTGGTGCAATCTCTGATCGCCAGAGCCATGTCAGCAAGAGCCCTGATGTGGCTGTAATCCAGAGACTGCACCTTTGCTGGTAAAATTTGCTCCATCTGGTCTCCATGGGATTATTACACTGGTTGTAAAGCACAGTCCTGCTGCTAAAGTTGTGTCTGCATTTGGAGTGCTTTACCAGTGAAGTCTGCTGGTAGCACACTCATCACATAGACTAAGCCTTGTTCCTTTGTGTATTTTGAAGGTGTTAATAATATGCAGTAATGAGCATTAGTGAGCTCTCTGGAAACAGTGAACAAGAGGGATACGTTGTCTGCAGTTTATGGCAGTTCTAAAAATCCACATGTAGTAATTCTTAAGGTTGGCGGGTTTTCAATTGCCAAACCTTGTGTGCCAATCCTTGCATTCATCAAGTGACAAGTACTCTGGCTGAGAACAAGCATGAGCTGGCACATGAGTGGATGTCTGTCTAGTGCAGTTAAAAGCTACATTTGATTCAGCAGCTGTAGTCCATCTTTGTGCCTCACCTTCAAGAAGCAAACTGCTGGGATTTGAGCGTACAGCATGTTTGAGATTGAAACCTTAGGGCATTTTACTTGATTCCCCCCCTGCCATTATAGAGCTTGCCAGGTCTCAGATGCTGGAAGAAAGCAATGCACAGATGTGATGCAGTGGGGAGAGCCATTAGCATTCATGCTTTTTCCATGTTGAGTCTGAATTCAGGACAGTACATCCTCCTGGTGCTGTGGTTTAGCAGCTGCATTCATGTTTCCACCAGCTGAATGTCTGTGATGGGGACTGCCTTGTCATATAAACCTGTGGATTGTGGGATGCAGGGAGGTAGCGCTTGTTTGCATGGGGCCTGTGTCTGTATTTCTGAGCACTTTGGAAAATGGAGTAATTTAACATGGGAAAACAAGGGATATGCTGCTGTTTTGGAGAGGCTGACACACTGAATAAGAGGAAATGAAGGGAATTATTAACTTGTAGAACATAAGCTAAAAAAATAAGATGCAATGGGTAGAGGGAGTTTCCTGAAAGTCCCGAAGAGACTCCCATGTCATGCATTTACAAAAGCCAGGGGTGTATGAAGAAAACACAAGAAGCACTCAATGAGTCACAACAGCAGTGTTGACTGGAGAGGGAACACCATGCTCTGGTGCTTGCTGGATTTAGCTGGCCGTGACTCAGGACTAGTGCATACTTGCAGTCTGACACATCTTGACCCCTTGACATTTCATCTTCAAATCCCAGCCAGGCAAACCCATCTGGCTTTCTGTGAGCAGATGAACTGAGTGACATGGTGTACAGTGTAAAAATATCGAGGGCGAGCCCTTAGTACCAATTCAGGACATGTTGGAGGCAAATGGTGCTGTGTCACATTCAAATGAAGTTGCCTGCTTTCGGGTCAAAATCACTAGGGTCTCTCCTTTGACTTAAGGAGTACAACTGGAAATGCTGGAGGTGGCTGTATTGTGGTGATGCTATTTGTGAGCTGGTGTGGAGGGTGCCATTGCTGTGAAGAGTGATTTGATGGTTAAATGCATTGCTAAAAGGAAAATATGGGACTGCTCTGTCATAATTTATGAAGTCTGTGTTGTGTGTGTTAGGCTGGTTGCCTGGAAGCTTTCCGGGTCACTACGTGTGGTAGAGTCATGAATATTACAATAGTAGGCAGTAAGAATCTTTGGTAAATATCTGAGTCACTGCCAGACCCTGGATGAGTAGCCAAGACCAAGGAGCCTCACTCAACGCCCAGAGTCTGCCAGCGTGAGTTTTTGGTTAGCAGGGCCAGTGATGGAGAGCACAAAGGAGCTCTAAAGGTGATGGCTGATAAACTATTCATGAGGGGGCTGTTCGGTCTGATGTCTCTGAAGAGTGCAGATGGCTTTGTTCGGGTTTGCTCTCAAAGGATGTAGAGCTGGCTCCAACCTCAACAAAACTCAGCCCAGGGTGAGCTCTGCAGAGTTAAATTCTGCAGCAGGAGGCAAGAAGGTGTTGGAGAAGGGGATATGGCAGGACAGAGCGGGGAGACAGAGAGAGAGTCCTCCCTCAGCTACCTTCACTTTGTAACTGTGTTAGGGCAGGGCATGGGCAGGTGGATAGGGAAAGTCCTGGTTCTAGGACACGGGACAGCATGGAGTGGAGATACCTCTGCTAGAAGTGGGGAAATGGCAGTGCCTGACTCTGCTGCTAAGGTCGCGGCTTCCATTGCCTACACCTCAAATCAAGATAGAGAGGCTTTAGATAAGAGAGATGTCATTAGCCCTGTTGTTTCAAGGTCACTTTGTCTTCCATGTGTGGTTTAAGTTTAAACAACATTTGGTACAAATACCAACCCTGAAGTCACTGCTGTTCACAAGCACCGAAAGATGCTGAACCAGGCCTGTCAGATGTAACAAGGAAGAACAAGAGCTCCACAGGACACTGTGGCCTGAGGACCATTCGGAGGGCTTGTCCACTTAGTGGGGTCACTGTAGTGTGCATGTGGCACGTATCCTATGGCAGCTAATACACGGTTTCCCTTAGCTCACGGTGCCTTTGTGCTGGGCAGTTCATCCCCTCTTCAAAGTAGAGCAAGCTTCCCACAGTTAGTTTGCACTTGGGAGAGGAGTGAAAACACATATCTCTGCTTTGGTATCTAAGCATCCTATATGGTTAGGTAGACATCTGCAGAGGCTAGTTCAGCATGTCAAACCTAGTCAGCTCCTCCCAGAGCATCCACTTCTCCACCAGGCACATGAGGAGCCAAAACTGCTGCATCGAAATCAGAGATGCAAGCATCTCCTTGGCTTTTGGTGTTTCCATGGAGCGGAGCGTCCACCTTGACTTCACATCCTCATCTTTGCATATTAACCTCCTAGCTTCAGGAGACTTGCAGTACCAGGAAATAGTACCATCTCAGCAGATAAAGGGCACAGAGCACGATGCATGGAGCCAGCCTTCTCAGCCAAGGGGCAGAGGTACGTGTCATGCACCAGCCAAGCTGTCTGCCCAAGCCCAGTGAGATTGGTGGTATTCAGGAGCTGGCTGAGGACTCTGTTCATCAGCTGGGGAAAGAATTGGACATATGTTTTGTTTAATTTTCTGAAAAACTGCAGAGCTGATACTGTGATTAAAGGCTCCCTCTTCTGTTTCTCGCTGCTATTGCACATTTTCTTTAACAAATACAAAAATGTGAAAGACTTAATCCAGGTTTACCTGTGCTGTGCAAATAGATTTGCAATTCTTTATTTCAAAACACACATATACAGCTGATGTTAGAGAAGGAGAAGGACTTAACAGATGATACTAACTATCCCTGCTAAGCTTGGGATGAGGGAAGCAGATTGCTAAGGAGAGATGGGGGGGTCCTTGTAGAGTATCTTTTGAAGCAGGGTATTCTCATGGTATCTTCCAGTGTCCCTCATTTTTCTTGGACCTAAAACATTATTAAAACAAAGTCTTCCAAGCATAATCTTATCTGAACAAGAAGAGGTGTTGTGTTTATCTCCTATAACCCCAGGATTTCTGAATAGTATGACACACAGAAGTTTATTGTCAGCAATAGATGATTTTTTAAATTATTTTTGCAGCGTCTGAGCCCACATTAAGTTTGCCATCATGGAAATGTTGCTTCACCTGAAAGTGTCTGGCTGTAACTTAATGCATGTTTACCACAGCCATTGAAGCTACAAATAACTTTGGGCTGGTGAGCGTGGTGGCTCAGGCCGTTTTACAGGAGTGGATTCAAGTAAGAAATAAATGTATTTCTTAAGTAAGGAATCAATCTTCTCCACTCTTTCAGTAAAGGCAGAGTCCCATTTGTACCATTTTTTACCAGCCTTTCGTCTTCCTCAGTGAGGTATTGTAATACCCTTGCAAGATGCTGCAAGTGCACTTCTGCTTGATATCAAAGGCAGGACTGAGGCTGGGATGCAGCTCTTGAGCTACAACCCATCATGTCAGGTGAATCAGGGACAACCAAGAGTGCTGGATCTGTCCCATCAGTGGGGCTGCATCGTTAGAGTTGATGGTGAGAATACATGCCTTTAATTTCACCGTAAACTTCTCTTGACAGTGAACTGAAGAATGAAGAATGGGGAATGCCTGGATTCAGCTCCCTGACAAAAAAATCTAGATGCTTTGTAATGTCATCAATAGCTGCAATACAAATGTTACTCAACTCTGTAAGGATAATGGATGTAGAAAGCTCGCCAGAATCAGAGTTTGAATGCAACTTGTGCAATGTTCTGTGGCTGACAAAGGGTTTAAACGGGGTTATGTGGCTCTTTGAAGTAAAGAGAAGACCCACTGATCAAAGGTGGAATATTGTTCAGCATGGCAGGGAGAAGGCAAGAAGGAAGCTCTGTGAATATAACACCAGCTCTTCAAGGCTTTGTTATAGGGGTACTTGGAAAACTAACTAAGAGCAATAAAGTATTACTCATCCTTTTAGAAGGCAACAGAGCAGTAAATTTCTAAGTGGATTTGTGCACGATCACTCTGTTTTCCACTGCAGACATGATGACTATTTTTAGTGGCACATAGACAAAGTAGATAATTGCTCTGTGGGCTTTCTACCTGTCAAAACTTTTACTCACCCATTTTGACTCATTTTGGTGATTTTATTCCAGGTTATTTCCAAATTTTGATAGCATATTTTAACCATCACAGTGATGTATCTTGCTGATACACTTGAGTGTGTCTGCACAGTGCAGTGTAGTCTTAGTTTCTCCAAACAGAGCAAAAACACGCAGCCCCGAATTCTAAATAAACTCTAAGGTGTGCAGACAAAATTATGCCAGTTGGCTTTCTCTGTTCTTCCCACCATCTCAGCTGATTTGGGTTTGCACATAGGTGCAACATGTCTCTGGGGCATTCATGGTGTTCATTGAACTTGGAATAACCACCTAATTTCTTTGTATTTTAAAGACAATTAAACCAATTTTACCTTACAAAGGTCTGCCTCTGGCTCTTAATTTACATCAATCTTTAACACCTAAAATGGCTCCTGCTTTTGCTCCTGCATTGCTCCTGTAGTGTTGGTTCAGCTCCATTCTCAGTACCACCAAAATTCACTTTTCTAGAGCAGATCCCTCAGAGCAACTGCAGCTGTAATAGCCATGGGAATATCCAGGGAGGATTGCAAGGACTTTCTGCTGTCAGGGTTTTGCCTTCCTATAACCTTGCCCTGGAAATTAATGTTTTGTCTCCCTCACACTTTTTAATGAATTTTCTTCATAGAATCGTAGAATCATAGAATGTTTTGGGTTGGAAGGGACCCCTAGAGGTCATCTAGTCCAACTCCCCTGCAGTGAGCAGGGACACCGCTAACTAGATCAGGTTGCTCAGAGCCCCGTCCAACCTGGCGTTGAACGTTTCCAGGGATGGGGCCTCCACTACCTCCCTGGGCAACCTGTTCCAGTGTTTCACCACCCTCATTGTAAAGAACTTCTTCCTTATATCCAGTCTAAACCTACCCTGGTTTAGTTTAAAACCATTACCCCTTATCCTGTCACAGCTGGCCCTACTAAAAAGATTTTCCCCATCTTTCCTATAGGCCCCCTTTAGGTACTGAAAGGCCTCAATCAGGTCTCCCCGCAGCCTTCTCTTCTCCAGACTGAACAACCCCAACTCTCTCAGCCTGTCCTCATAGGAGAGGTGCTCCAGCCCTCAAATCATTTTTGTGGCCCTCCTCTGGACCCGCTCCAACACTTCCATGTCCTTCTTGTGCTGAGGGCTCCAGAGCTGGATGCAGTACTCTAGGTGAGGTCTCACCAGAGCAGAGTAGAGGGGCAGAATCACCTCCCTCGACCTGCTGGCCACGCTTCTCCTGATGCAGCCCAGGGTACACTTGGCCTTCTGGGCTGCCAGCGCACATTGCCGGCTCATGTCCAGCTTTTCATCCACCAGCACCCCCAAGTCCCTCTCAGCAGGGCGAGAGGGACTATTACAGTATTACTGGGACAGCCATTTAAACCACACAGTCCTCTAGGAAAGCAGAGATTGTTTGTCAGAACTAGCACTGTTCCCACATTACTGTTGGGAGATTTTTTTTTCAGATAACATAAGAATATAACTGGCTTTTCGTGTCAGGTAAAAGCTAGTTCTCGCCTAGTAACCTGCTATGAAGAGTGGGTGATGCAGGTATGTAGGAAAGAGGACTATAGTGGGGCAAGGCTGGTACTTCCCCAGAATACTAACCCGGTCTCCCATGATTTGTGTTTTGGAGATGTCTTGATGACACAAGATTTTGTATTTAGTAGCTCTCAATAAGTATGTCCCATGACTTTGTCACGGCAAACAGTTTAGCAGCTTAAAAACATTCTTCTCTTTGCTTTGAACTAGGTTTTGTTTGTTTGTTTGTTTCTCCTTGTTTTTAAATTGGAAAAGATCATGAGAAATTACTTCTTACACACCTCCATGCCACTCTCAGATGTACAGACTTCTTTCATATCCCCAGTTATGTCCTGCAGACTGAGATGCCTTGTGTATTTAGCTGTTTATAACACAGAAGCTGTATCTTTGCTGGTCTTCTCCTTGTCTCTTCTAATCCTGCCATACTGTTTGTAAGATGAAGGTAGGAAGCCCACCGTGATATTGAAGAAGTGGGCTTCCATTGGACTTACTCAGTGGCATAAAACCACTTCTATTTTTCTGTTCTCTATTTCTTTCCTCATTCTGTTTGTTTTCAGATCTTACTGGGCCAACATTTTCACTTGCAGTAACCCCAAGATATCATTCATGAATCCTAATAGTCAACTCAAAGCTCAGAGCTGTGTCCAGAAACCTGATTTTTCCCCACGTCACTTTGTATTTATCTATGTTGAATTCATCTGACACTGTATCACTCAGTTCCATGAGGTCCTTCTGGATTCTTCACAGCTGGACTTTAACTTCCTCTCTCTATATAGCTTTTTATCAACAAAAAAACGTTATCCCTTCATTATTCATTCACTTTCCCACATCATCGATGAATATGTCGAATAGCACTGGCCCCAGGACAGATTCCTGTGTGACCCCATTGACAGTGTCCGTTCACTTGTAAAACCCAATAGTTTATTCTTTATTTCCTATCTTGCAGTTAGTCATTTACTGCATGCGTCCTTTCCTTGTATCCCATGGCAGCCTAGTTTGTTTAAGAGTGAGGAATGCTTTCCGGGAACAAGATGGACAGTAGTCAGGAAGGGCACTCATCATGAACTCCTTCAGGGAATGCCAGTAGGTTTGTGTTATGATTCCTCTTTACTTTTCACTGGTGTACTGTGTTTAGTCATGTCCCCACCCTTCTGGTTTTCAGGCTGGTCTCTACCTCTTTATCCAATATGGACAGCAGACTTAATGTTCAGCAGCTCTCAGGATACTGCCTGGCACCTCTCCACTTGGCACTGTACCTGCCAGGTTTCTGTGCTGTGGTCCTGAGGCAGATTTCAGCCAGTGGCTCCCATTGTTCATCCATCTCAAGTTCCTCCAGAGTTCCAGCATGGATACCATCCAGTCCTGGTTTGTTACACCTTGTTTTGAGGATCTGCCCTACAACATCTTTTACTTACACTTCAGTTTGAGACCGATCATCCAGCACATCCCTTTCTCCATCTTGTGGGAACTTCCCCATAATGAAAACACACACAAAATATTTATTTAGGTTTTCTGCTATGGCTTATCTTCTTTAAGCACTCCTCCTCTACCCTGACCATCTACTGGCCCCCAATGGCCTCTTCAGGCTTCCTGATCCCATTGCATTTGGACAAGGATTCATGGCTATTTGCAGATTGCTCCTGTAACAGCTCTGGAGGAGATTACATTACTCTGGTCTTTTCTTCCACTTACCCTCCTAACAGTGGCGTTGGCCTTACGTCCTTGTGCTGGTTTTGACTGGGGTAGAGTTATTTTTCTTCATAGTAGCTAGTATGGGGCTGTGTTTTGGATTTGTGCTGCAAACAGTGTTGATAACACAGGGATGTTTTTGTTACTGCTGAGCAGGGCTTACACAAAGTCAAAGCCTTTTCTGCCTCTCACCCCACCCCACCAGTGAGGAGGCTGGTGGGCACAAGAAGCTGGGAGGGGACACAGCCAGGACAGCTGACCCCAACTGACCCAAGGGCTATTCCACACCATATGACATCATGCTCAGCATATAAAGCTGGGGGAAGAAGATGGAAGAGGGGGGTGTTCGGAGCGATGGCGTTTGTCTTCCCAAGTCACCATTATGCGTGATGGAGCCCAGGCTGAGCACCTGCCGGCCCATGGGAAGCAGGGAATTAATTCCTTGGTTTGCTTGGCTTGCATGCACAGCCTTTGCTTTCCCTATCAAACTGTCTTTATCTCAATCCATGAGTTTTCTCAATTTTAACCTTCCGATTCTCTCCCCCATCCCACTGCGGGGGGGAGTGAGCAAGCAGCTGCATGGGGCTGAGTTGCTGGCTGGGGTTAAACCACAACGGTGCTTTGGAACTTTCTTTTTCCCATGGCAGGTGGCAAGTTATTAAGCAGTGGTGTGTTATTAAGGGCCATTAGTGGAATATACAGCCTGAATTCAGCAAAGTGTGTGACTAAATTTTAACACTGACCTGTGTTAAGCACTTAAATTATCTGCAGAGTTTATAGCTCTAATTAACAAGCTGTGGGCAAGGGGTATTTATTTCTCTGGAATTTTTAATATTACTTCTTGTTTGGCATGTTTTTGATAATGCAAACCCTTATGCAGATCTTGCTGTAGTAAAGCCGTGGTGAAACATCTGTGTGTGTCCT